GCTATTTTTTTTTTTAAAAGATAATTTCAGGGATGTCTGGATGGCTCAGTTGGTTAAGCATTGGACTTCTGCTCAGGTCAGGCCCCGGGAGTCCTGGGATTAAGCCCCGGGGGTGGTCTCCCTGGTTGGCAGGAAGTCTGCTTCTTCCTCTCCCTCTGCCCCTCCCCCTGCTCATGCTCTCTATCTCATGTTCTCTCTCTCTCTCTCTCTCTCTGTCAAATAAATAAATAAAATTTTTTAAAAATTAAAGAATTAATAGAAATCATTAAAAAAATAACAGGAGAGACAAAGCCACATCAACAAGTGAGCAGAACTTTTTAAATATCTCAGCCCCTGTCCATGTGCATTTAGGCCATATGCTTTGGAGCAGAAATATATTAATGCAGCTTTTCACCATGAATGGTAATAATAGTCATCATGTGTTGGGTACTCACCACAGCCATCACTCCATTAAATATTTGAGGAGGATTATCTAATTAGATGCTCAAAACAGTCCTATGCAGTAGGTATTGTTATTACTTCCAGATTCCCTTGCACCAAAGTCAGGGAGCTGAAGAGCTGCTCCAGACCCTTCAAGCATCGCGCTAACCCTCATTTGTGGTGCGCAAATGGGAAGGATATTTAGGTCCCGTACATTTGCATCAAAAAGCAGAAAACCATTTCTGAGTTTACCATTTATTTTTCAAGGACGATTTTACTACTTCAGTGCCACTATTTGGTCGGCCTCCATAAGAGTGTGCAGAAATTAATAGTAACAAAGAGAAAGGATTTCCCTTTCTGGAAAAACCTCTCATAACCTTTTTTTTTTTTTTTTTTTTTTTTTTTGGTAGAGAGGATCGGAGGTATTGCATTAAAATTGCAATTGTGTACAGATGCTTTACAAATACCTCTAGGTAACTATGCTTGAACATCTAGGAAAGCAAAATATCCCTGGAAGTGATCTAATCTAAAAACCAAGCCCTCTGACTGTAAGATGAAAAGCAGAGGCCAAGAGAAGTTAAGGAACTTGTATGGGATTATCCAGAGATGCAAAGCCAGCAATGAATCTCAGGTCTCCTGATCATTAACCCAGAGGTCCTTCCATTTTTCCATTCTGCCCCCTAGCCTTAAAACAAAAGACTGGATGGGACAAACTGGGCTGGAAAAACATAGCATTGTTCTAATAAAACAATCCAGCAGGGCATTATTATTTAGCGTTCTTCCTTCTAGAACGAGAGGTGTCCCCATATTGAATGTATCCTGTATAGTTCGTATGAAGATGACGCTGCCTGGCAACAGCATCTCTATCCCATGTCCTGCCTGCCCTCGTTCACATCTTCCTCCATCACTTGGAAGGCATAGGTTTTTTTAAAAGTATTCATCATGGCAGCAAAGAATGTAAAAAGAGAACTGTCCTTTTCCACACATGTTTGGAAATTACATGCATGAAACCACCAGGCAGACATGAAATAGACACATTTTTCATCCAGAATTTGGCAGCTTTGCTGAAAGCCCAACATCATGGTTAACGACATCACCATGTTATTTGCGAGGCAGGAATTACACAGTAAGCTGATCACTCTTCTGTTGGAAGTGGAGACTGCGCATTTTCCAGGGTTGTTTCCAAAATGATGGGATTGTTGCTTCCTGCCCCTTTACCCAACCTGCCTCTGAAATGGGCTGAAAGTCAAGGAACAGCAGGGAAATACTGGTCTTAAATTATCCTGACCAAATAATTGGCTTAAAAAAAGACATAAGTGTGATATGCCAAACTGTCAGAATGTCCTTCCAAACAGAAAGAAAAGAAAGCAGGTAGGCGAGAAGGAAATTCCTAGTTCTATTAACTCGCCATTCCCTTGGAAAAACTGAGATTATTTTTTCCCCTTACTCCCTTTCAGAAAACGTCTGTGCTTTGAGCTTGCCCAGTACCCTTCCAGCCCTTCCTCTGGTGTCATCACCAGCATCTTCCCTATTCTTTACTCATCTCCCTCTCCCAGGCCTTTGATTCAGAAGGTGAGGTTCCCCTGTGATCTTCCCCCTCCCAGAGCATTGGGGTGGGCTTCAGGCACCATTATTACCAACCTATTTGTCCATGCCATTGATCCCTTACTAGTTCTAGAACAGGCATGGGATTCAAATGGATCACACGAGATTCAGGAATATGGGTGGACTATATGGGGAAAAAAAAAGTTGAGCTGATAGGCTATATTGGAGCTCTGGGGTAGGGTGGAGGGGCAAGGGCGCCGGTAGAAAAAACGTAGCTTAGAGTGAAACCAGTAACGTGCAAAGCCAAGTGAACAGATCAAGAAAGAATGAGACAAATTCCTGGTGACAATGTTTGAGCACCCAGACCCAGCCATGAATCAACTGATCTCCTGTTTTACTCAAGCCATTCTGAACAGGGTTTATGTCACTTTTAAGCAAAACAGCCTTGACCAACACATCCTTCCTCTTAATTCAAAATCCAGTTTAATGGTCACCCCTCTTCTGTTTGGCCTTTCCTGAGGATCCCACATTGAGAGGTAGCTGTGTGCACTCTCCTTGGGCTATTTGTCTTTATAGCTACTTCTCTGATTGTACTTTTCATTCAGTATTGCGTTTCTGGCCAGGCTTTCAGATTTAAGATAGAGTTAATATCTTATTAATCACTGAATTTCTAATACTTGTCCAATGCCTCAGATAGGGTAGTCACTCAAAACATGTGTGTTGAATTGAATTGGATCCTAACTACTATTTCAGTGAACATAGCAGCCTTCAACAAGTTCCCATTACACTTAGAATAAAGTCCACAGTCCATCATGGGCCTACATGATCTGCCTGCCTCTCCTTATCTCACATCCTTCAACAGTGGCTCCATGCTTTTCCATGAGCACCCCAAGTCTGTCCCCAATTCAGAGTCTTTGCATTTGCTATTCCTCTTCCCAAGAAGGCTCTTCTCCAAGATAATTGTAGCTATAGCTCTACTACATGCTGCATGGGCTGTACCCAATTGTTTCCATATCAGAGAACCTTTCTCTGACAATCTTATCCACAATAGCACCTCCACACTCTATAACCCTTTCACCTGCTTTATCTTTTTTCATGCCCCTTATCAATGCCTGATGTGTCGTACATTTTTATTCCCCACTTATCACTGTCCTCACCTCTACAATATACAAAGGCAGGAAATCACTTTGTTTTGTTCACGATTGTATATACCTAGCGCCTAGGGATTCTGTGTCCTCAAAACAGTGGTCGTTATACATTTTGAAAATAAGCTTACATTCAAATGGATGGAAAAAGAAAAGCAAACCCTAAAACTGAAGCCAACCTATGCAAGTGAACCTAAATGTATATTAAATTATAATGTAATCATCCTAGGGGGAAAAAATAGAATTAATGCTTGTAACTTTTAAACATGGTACTTTTAAACCTATAGAGAAATGCAGTCTGAAGATAAAAGTAATTATAGCAAAACATATTGAAAGGAACTTGGGAGTTTTCCTTGTTGGTAGTGGGTCTGATGTAGTAATTAAAAATCACTGTGCACGTATTGTAGGATTCAGCCAAGAGGTAAATACAGTGATGCTGTTGGGAAACATGGTCCAAAATGTGGGAGAAGGGGTACACAAACACAGAATGGAGAAAGGAAAAAAGAAACTTGTGATGTTGAATTAGAATTATGGGTATCAGTATGATGTCATTCTCTTCCCCAATTCTGCCTACAGAAAAAGTCGAAAGGAAATGGCATCCCAATAGCAACGGGCACACTTAGTGTTCAGATCTTGGTTTTTAAATACCATGCCCCATTAAAAGGAGCCAGGGTTCCTTGAAGAAATGACTGATTTCAGGGCGAGGGCAGGGAAAGTAGAAGACAATTCTAGAGCATAGATTTGTGCCAAAAATCAAGGAAATTCTGAAAGACTAGGTGGGCCCTGTCAAAAAAGACAAGAGCCAGCCTGAAGGGGTTCCCTCTGACCAAATATGGGACATACGAAAATCAGAAATCATAATAATGGCAAAATATTTTTAACACATCAAACAGAAATAACCAACCAAGGGTCCACATTGAGATTTTTAGAAGTAAATAATACAGAAGAGGAGGGAAAGATCTTCACTATAGAAGAATACCAGATGATATCTGTAGAATGATAGATTCCCCCAAATCATCATTTTATAACCCCCAGTGGAAGAACTGATTCCGACAGGAGTCATCAATGAATGCTGAAACTACTGGGTGAAAGATATGGGGGGGGGCAGATTTGCACATGGTCTCACATTATTTATTAATTTCAAAAGGAAAAAGGTAACTTTCCAGTGCAGAGGTAAGTGACCAAGTTTATCACTGGACCAAGTAATCAAGTTTATCATTGCCAATGATGAGACAAACAGATTTTATGTGCCTCCTGATATGATACAACAGAAGGACACAACATCATCGATGTAATGCTCTTGCCAAAATCTTCTCACTGAATCTAAGCACTGAGTAAAGGATCAAACTCAGAAAATGGGATATTCTACAGGGCACCTGGCCTAGGCTCTTCAAAATCATCAATCTGAATGACAACTACAACAAAAAAGGCGGGGAACAGGGACATCTGGATGGCTCAGTCGGTTAAGGATCAGCCTTCGGCTCAGGTCATGATCCCAGGATCTTGGGAGTGAGTCCACGTCAGGTTTCCTGCTCAGCGGGGAGCCTGCTTCTCCCTCTGTGCCCCGCCAAACACCCCATCCTGTGCTCTCTCTCTTTCTCAAACAAATAAAATCTTTAGTAAAACGCAGGGGACTGACACCTAACAACCCACTGTGATACACAAAACTTTAGGGAATCCTGGATTTATAATAAAAAAATGTTATGGAAAACATTTTGGGACTAAACAGAAATTTTTTAATATGGTATGAATTAATATTAATGTGTGTGTGTGTGTGTGTGTGTGTGTGTGTGTGTGTATTTACAGACAGAATGCATGAATCACAATGTCATGACGTATTTCAGTCCTGCTGATGTTGGAAGCATACAAGAAAACATGACTTCCACTTACCTCCCCAGTGGCATAAAAGTCATTGTTTTTATATTCAGGAAACAACAGGAAAAATTGAACTAATGCACTGCAAAAGAACAAAAATTTAAAAAAAATCACATGGCATCAGAAGAGCTTAGTGCTATGCTAGCAGATCTAACCCTTTGACAATAGGTTTCTCATCTGAACTAAGATGCTATTAGGCTGTGAGGTCCAGTAGGCACTGTATTCAAAGTGTCATGTATGTGACATTCCACACTGTGGATGGTTAGGAAATAACTGTGAGCTTACTTTACCCATAAAAGTGAGTCAACACCCTGGGCAGGTTTCCAAATCTCTGGGTTACCAACCTGGACCATTTAGCTGTTGAGGGGACCCGTGAGCAAAGCGATATGGACTTTCATCTATTATTATAGCACTTCTTGGAGGAAGTTCCACAAACCTTATGACCCTGTTAACCCGGGTTTGTGGCGAACTAATGAGAACCTTACTGGCTTACCAACCTCTTCCTATGGGGGAACCCTGAGCATTTCTAATGCGGTTCCCCAAATTTCAGCATTTTAATAACCCAAGAACAAAAAAGCTATAAAAAGGCCATAGTCTACAAGAAAACCACCAAATGGCCAGATTTGGAAGTAACGGTACAGTGGCATCTACGCTCAAAAAAACCACACTTCTTAAAGAATGCCAATCACCACTTCAATGAGTTATACAGAAATAGATTCAAAAACTCAAGAAACGATTTCATAACAAGCAAGAAAAGGGTAGATTAGTGAATGACTTTCTACTTGACCAAAATCTTTCAAAAAGGAAACAAAACCTGTGAAACTTGGATGCTCTATGAGTGTGCTGACCCAGATCGCGTTGTCTGAGAAGCTAGGCAGTGCCTTTGTTCCAGCTTCCTGCTGAGGGACTAAAAGCCACGAACTATCCAGCAAAGATGAAAGGCAAGAAGGCCCCGCAAAACCAGGAGGAGGAGAGGGTTCAAGGGTTATAGGGAGGCAAAACTGGGTCATCATAGTCGCCGTGATCCTGGCTGTACTTAATTTTCAAAGGCTCCATAAACATCCACCATTAAAAACCACTGTAGAGCTGTGGTGTGTTTCTGTATTTATTATTTATAGTAACTAAAGTCTTTGTAGCAACTAAATCTGGGAAGCTGTACTATATAGCTTCCATGTTTGTGCTGGCAATATGCTGGCTTCAGCGTGGAGATAAAAATAGGACTTTATTTTTCACCCTTCCCTCGCCAGCCTTCAGGCTAAAAACTACTTCTCTCTCTTCCTGCTAGTTGGAATGGCAATAGACAATTTAATATAGTAAATCTCAATTAAGCCTTATGCTTTAGCTTAAAGCTTGTTTCCTTGGAGAATCTGTTAAAGTTGTCAACGTTGCCAGCCTTAGCAAATAAAAATACAGGACAATTTAATATAGTAAATCTCAATTAAGCCTTATGCTTTAGCTTAAAGCTTGTTTCCTTGGAGAAACTGTTAAAGTTGTCAAGGTTGCCAGCCTTAGCAAATAAAAATACAGGACATCCAATTAAACTTGAATTTCAGATCCACAACAAATAATGCTTTAGTGTAACTATGACGCAAATATTGCATGGCACACACTTAGAGTAAAAACATTATTCATTATTTATCTGAATTGAACATTTAGCTGGGCATTCTGCATTTCATCTGGCAATTTTAGTTCAAGGAGCTAACCTCTCGGTTGCTTCTAGGTCGAAAATGCCAGGATTTTCTAGCTGACGTTACCAAGGCAAGGCCCTCCCTTGAGGAAGTTAAAGTTTTAATTTCACAAGAACATCAGAACAAACATTTGGCTAATCCTAGGAAGCTCTTGGTAGGCCTTTCTTAAATGGGAGTGAAGAATGAAAAAAAGTAAATTTAGCAAGTTGGATATACATGTGCCATTTGCTTGTTTAACTGTGTTTTACTCCACTGTGTGTAATCCTTATTCCATGGTGAGGGTTTGCTTAAAAATAAAATCTAGAATAAGGTCTACATAAAGTTTCAAATTTTGGAAGGAGAGCTGCTCAAATCTGTAATACATAATGTACGTGTGTGTGCACGTGTGTATGTGTGTGTGCACGCCACGTATTTTTTCGGGCACAAGAGCTAGATGTCCAGGGAGGAGGCCTCTGCCAGATGATTGTATTTGCTGACCTTGCTAGCACTGTGCCAAGGGCCTTGTCTAATAAGTTGAATGTTAGTCAAAGGCCACCTGGTGGCAAAAAGTTACATTAAAGGACAACAGGAAGAAACTGAGCTTGCAAAGGATGATGACTAGGAAGAAATTCTTCCTCAGATAAATTTTGTTAAGAAGGGAAGTTGGTGGGTTCGGGGCACGGAAGGTAGATGGAAATGATACTGCACTAGAGAATCCGGTGGGTTCTAATGGAGTCGGAGGCACAATAAATACAAGACGTTCCAAAGAATTGAGGTTAAGACAACCGAAACAAAAGTTCCATACCAACAAGAGCTAAGCAAGGGGTAGCTTTAGTCACTAACAGTTCAGCTGAAATACACACGGTGACAAGAAGTGTGGCCGTTTTGTTCTGTGGCAGCCTCCAGGTGGCCATCCTCCCATTCATTCCGTACCTAGTATGGCTGGGCCCTGATCTGCTCTGCCCGCGCCACTCACCGTGTTCTCATTTAATATACGAAATCTGTATCATTGTCATTGTTAGGAAGCTTTGTTTAGCAACTGACACTATTTCCTATACAAACCAATAGGTGTAACTGAACGATACTACCATTTCCTTCCGCTGCTAAGAAACTAATTTCAGGCATGCCACGCGATGGTAAGCACCAGCACGAGGACCACGGGGTTGGCTGACCACGCTGTCACCCACAGCAGGAACAGTGTCTCGCACAGAGCAGGCAATCGATAAACAGTGGCAGAAGGAGAATGGCCCCAGATAGTACACTCCAAATCAGTTACTAAATTCAGTATTCTTTAGTACATTTATTTATTTATTACCTAAACCAGAGGGGTATTGTGGCCCAACAACATGTTCCAAATACCAAAATAATTGAATATTTAAACATGTTGTTAGTAAAAAATAAAAATAAGCTTTACTTCCAAACACAAAGAAAAGCAGCCTTAGTGTGAATGTCAAATGCCTCTTTAGTAGGAATCTACTCCTTACAGCCTTGGACTATTAATATGCAAAAGGAATGGAATTTTCAGGGGGAAGAAAAAAAAAAAAGAAAGATGGTTTTCAAAGGGAGAAAAAGAAGGTCCTCTCTTTAAACCTGTAGTAACCCGTTTATAAGTTTCAAAGCGACCTTCTTATTCCAAACACCCATCTGGAGAGCTGGAGAGAAGAATGTAGTCACAAAGGGAAACAAATAGTGTAAACTATAAAGGAAACAGCTGAAATCAGTTTTCTGCACTGCCCTTGATTAGCTATTTTCCAGTTCTAAGGGCCCGAAGCAAAAAGAACTGAAATGGCTATAAACAATGGATGCTTTGAAATAGGTTCTCTTTACATGTCATGCAAGAAGAGATGTACCACATGTCAGCAGTAAATATCCACACGGAGGGTCAACGGGAAGTTGGGACCATCTCTGGGGGAGGGGAAGGAGAGACAGAAAAGGAAGGGCAGGGTTGTCGGCTCTGGCTTGGAGGGGACTGATGCATTTCTTCCCCACAGAACCTCCGCCCTCTGGGTGTTTGCTAGTTAAACAACTGAGCTTGTTTAGATTTAAACCTAAAGAGGGTCTGAGGGGGCAGGGAGGAATTGGGAGGGGGGGGCGCGGCAAGAAGTAGGTTTCCTATCTGTAAAATGAGAGCACACAGTCACGGCTCATGGTGCTTGAGTAAACTCGTTAAGGACAGTCATCAAGATCATGTCTCTCTAAGGCAACAGGAGGTGCCTCAGCGAGGGGGACAGGAGGAGGAGCCCATGTGGAAATATGGCTAATCTGCTCCCAGACCCACTGCACCTGGAAGCAAAAGTGTGGGGTCCTAGCCCTTCCCCTGGAAACTGAGTGGAAGTGTTAAAATAAGAAGACATAGGACAAACGAAAGTGTATAAAGAAGCCACCATATTGTTTTCTGGGTCAGTAAGGAAGAGAGAGAGAACTATCTCCGGAAGAAAGACCAAGGTCCCCTTTCCACTGTTCCCCAGCCATCTGCCTTAGGGAGAAAGAAAAATAAAACAGAAAACTTTTGTCAGAGTTCAAAAAACCCTGACTTCTATTAGATTCACTTTCACTTTAGGGATTTGTTGGGTTTGCTCACTATGGTGGTGATCTGAAAGAATTCAGGACTTGATCTCTAGTAATAATTTACAGACTTGGAAAAATGTGACCAACTGAGAACAGTCACTTAGTTAAAAAAAAAAAAAGTACTAAAAATAGCTGTAATGAATGTGAGTAAGAAAAAGAAGAAACTATATGGACTTTGACCATTGTTTTTTACAACTTTGTTTTCCTTCCATTTTTTTCTTCTTTTTAGTAGAAGAATAATTTTATTAAGATGAAGGAAAAAAGTAAGAGACTAGCTAGGAAGTTGAACTTTCAGCCTGGGAGTCATGAAGGAGAAGCAAGCAAGGGGAAAACTGCATTTGAAGGCCTCAGAGAGAAACAAAAGAAGCAAGCAAGCATCTGAGAAGATGTTTCCAGGCAAATGCGAAGTTAAAATGCAAGACGAAAAGCAAGCAAAAATCCTCTTGGGCATCTGGCTGAAAGGTCTGAAAATAATCTTTGAAGAATTCTGCTCTGTTTCTATTGTTTCTTAAAGGCGATTTTTACAAAATTACAATCATGCCTTAGGATTCCAGCCTTCCTTGTCATCTTCTCTGCTGGCCATGTGCATAATTATCAGTGATAAGTTAACAAAGTGGAAAATAGACCGTGGGTGTGCGTGCCTGTGAGTAGGTATGAACTTCTCCCGTGAAGGTATTCTTAAAATGCCTTGAAGAATTAGACCACAAGGACCAATCAGTAATACTTACCCTATTGGATGGATTTCCCTATTAAAATAGAAAAATTTTTGGTCTTAAGAAGGTCAAGAGGGAACCAGGTCTCCTTTTACCTGTATAAATTCTGGGCGACATCATCCTCATTGACTGCATATCCCTGGGGGTCGTCAGTAAAACTGAAGCCTGTGCCCACCTGAAGGTGAAATGAATACGCAGGTGTGACACAGAAGCACAAGCCTCGGAGCCCTTCGGGAGACACCCCACTGGAAGGGAATCAACCTTATTCCAAGCGCCAAGCCTCTGACCTTGGATTTTTGCCTCTAGCCCGTGTGCCTTTAGCCACCTTCACAGAAGGATGCTGCATTTCACCTTTTCCCCTTCCCCTCCTCCAAGCCCAAATGAAATCTCAGCATGGGGAGCCTGGGTGGCTCAGTCGGTTGAGCGTCCAACTCTTGGTTTCAGCTCAGGTTGTGATCGTGGGGTCATGAGATCGAGACCCATTGTCAGGCTCTGTGCTCAGTGCAGAGTCTGCTTAGGAGGCTCTCTCTCCCTCTCCCTCTGCCCCTCTACCACCCTCTCTATCCTACTCCCTCTCTCTCTCTCTCTTAAAAAAAAAAAAAGGTACAAAACTCTACCCTGGGGTCAGTGGCTGAGCTGTCCTGTTTCCACCATGGGGACCCTGCCAGATGTTGATTTAAGGGGGAAGAATTCACTGTTCCTGGCCCCCATCACAGTATCAAAAGGACCAAAGTTGTCTCCTCTCTGAAACCCGGAGAGTGCTTTGCTTTGTCCTAACAAGAAGGAACTCTCTAGGCTAGAGATAAAAGAGAGAGAGAGAGAGTGTGTGTGTCTGTGTGTGTGTGTGTTTTGATTTTTCATTGGTGAGAACCATGGCCACTAAGTCCCTTCACTTTCAGTTGGTAGGTTTTAAAATAAAGATTAGTTTTAAACTAGTATTTTCTTATACCTAGAAATTCCTAGACAACTAAGCTGTAAAATTCAGAAGAAACTACCACTGATTTTGTGTCAATAGTTTGTATAAGGGATGTATAAGTATTTTTGTTTTTGTTTTCCTAAAATGCACAAGGCAAAAGGACACTTCATGCAACTTGTGAAATATAAACATGCAGTTATAGACTAGGAAAGAGGCGGTCAAACTTGGTGCGAAAGGTGGGTAAATGGCTACGTTGGACTCCTTTTTCTCCCTATTTATCTGTTTTCTCTTTGAACCATGTGGGAAGTGAGAGAAATCAGAGAAATTAGGGGGTAAAGATACACCTGCAGCAGAAGCTGACCCTAAAGTTACTCTCCTATTTTGATGTTTATTGGAGTCAACTTCCGAAGAACTTCCGAGAATTCCACTTTTGTTCGGAGATGAGGCTCACTGTGCTAAACGAGTGAGTTTTTGACTTTTTAAATCTAGAACTCTGTTGGAAAGATTAAGAATTCTAATACTATATATAATACTATATAATGACCCACAATATGGGAAAGACATAGCATCAGTGGAAAGAAATTAATCCCTTATCGTGGATGGTAGAAAGCACTGAACAGGACATTTCGTAAGATTAAAAATGAGACGAGAGAAGGTAGCAAACAAAATTCCCAAACTCAGATTTAAGCATACATGTTAGAAAAACTAAATCCCAAAGATGTGTTTTAATAGATTAAATTCTATTTTAAAAAGCAAAAACAAAAAAACAAAAAAAAACCTAAATCTCCATCCCCCCACCCATTTCTTAAATGTATTTTATAAAAAGAAAAAAGACAGAAGAGGCCCACATTGACATTTCATAAGGCCATCAGATACTCACTGGATTGTCAATGTAAAGCATGGAAAGTGTGGTGGTCCAAGGAAAGTCTCTGGGACGCACTAGCAAAACAGAGAAGAGGTTTGAAACTGGGTCTTCAACAAGGCACCCCACCTAGGGCCCAGCTTTGCTCAGGAGCCAAACAAGCCCACCTGTCCCCATCCTATCAATGAACTCCCGGTGTCCCTCTGACATTGCTTCCTACTCTCACAGTGGGGAACAGACACCGGTACCTTTTCCTTCTCCTCTCCTCTTCTTTACTTTTCCTGAACCCAGAGAGTTTCTACATCTTTTTCTATGATGAAGTTTGGAAACAAGACCCTGTGCAACTGGTTCTGTGGAAAAACTCAACAACAATATATAATATAAACCCATCTGTCTGATCCTATCAACCCTTCTTAACATCTAATCCTTCTGAATCCTCTTCCTCCTGGCCAATGCCAAAGAGAACAACTCCAAAAGAACTGGCAGACATGCCTTTTATACCTGAATCACAGGATGGGTCACCCTCCAAATTCTGACCCAGGAAAAGTAAACGTTCTCCCCCATCCCCCCAATAAATGAGATAGAGGTAAACTGGGGATGACAGCCAGATGTGGCTCCTCTGCTCCTTCCTCTGGCCCCACCCCCACCCACAGCATCTTGCTTCCAGGATAGCTGATCATTTATGTGACTGAACCCTACAGTGTTCAGTCTGTGTGAGTAATTAGGGATATAATTCTACCCATTGGTCTCATGCAAAAGAGCTCGCCCAAAGAGTACTAGAAACCAACTGTTTTCACAAGCCCCAATTGCTTGAGCCGGCAGCAGACTGCAGGAAAATAGCTTAGAACTTATCACCCAAATTTCAAGGGAGAAAGCAGCCCAGCCAGGACGCTCACCCTGGTGGCTCCTACTTCTTAGACAGCCATCTCCAGAGAGCTATGCTTCTGTCATCTAAAACTATTATGCTCTTCCTTGTGGTTCCAAGTACACCTGAATTTTTTTCTGGAGCAGATATAAGGTTCAGGTGAAAAACTCTCCATAGGAAAACAGAGTCCAGGCAATACTTACAGGTCAGGTTGCTTGTGACAAAATAAGGTCCGTGTTCCACAAAGAGTCCAAACATGGATGAACCCCCGGGCCCTCCCTGCAGCCAGAGGACCACTGGAGCAACCTCAGGGTATACCTAAAGGGGACAAAGAAGCCAGTGACCACAGAGAGTCCTAAGCAAAAGAATATACTCAGGCAAACTTAACCGGATCCCGCATCGTTCGCTGCCTCACCTGGATCTCCCAAAGCCTTCCCAGACCCCAGACTGCTCTCCGTCACAAGCAAAGTGCTGCTCATCTCTTGCCTTGAGTTAGTATTTGCCGCATAATGCCAGTATCTATCTGGCTCAGTTCAGTCTTTCCCTGCTAAGAGCCAGGAAACCCACCGAATATAGAAGCTTCGCTTTTGTATGCCCCTTTGTGTACAGCCTAGGGCATGCTTGTATTTTTTTTAGCTGTTTCCACTTGCATTGGATCGACATATTCCCACAGAGGCACAGCAAAGAATCCTTCCTCCTCAGTGACAGTCTACTCGTTTCACTGGGAGCCCAGATGGCCTTTCTGATTTGATTCACTAAAAGGATATACACAAGGACAGCAGCCATTTCCTTCAACACGAGGGACCCAAGAAGAAGTGGACAGGCCCGGAGCAGTTTAGCCAATGCAAACAGCTTCAACAAAACCCCAGGCAAGGTGCAAACTGATTGAGGGGACAGGAAAGAAGTAAGTAAGAAAAGGTCATTGGCAGGGTTGGGATGACAAAAATGAGCTTTTGGCAGCAGAGTCAATACCATCAACCTCCGTGCCAGAAGGTTCTTTGCTTTTTTCTTATTTCTTTACATATTTATTGAGCACCTCGTATGGGTCGAACAGCATGCTGGAAGCAGCTACATAGCAGGGCAGTGAGTGAAACAAACAAATAAAACCCCACTTGATCTCTTCCAGCTTACATTTTCATGGGAAATATAGATCATAAGTAAAGGAAGAAACCCGATGATTAAGGGTTGTAGAAAGGAAATAAAGGTGATGTTAAGGGAGTGGGTGAGGGGGTGCCTGGGTGGCTCAGTGAGTTGAGTGTCTGCCTTTAGCTCAGGTCATGATCTCAGTCAAGGGTCCTGGGATGAAGCCCCACAACAGGCTCCTTGCTCAATGGGGAGCCTGCTTCCCCTTCTGCCTGCTGCTCCCCCTGCTTGTGCTCTCTCTCTCTCTTACAAATAAATAAAATACTTTAAAAGAGAGAGAGAGAGGGCAGAAAAGAATAGTGCTTCCTGGAAACACAAGTAATCATGGAAGGACTCAGTGAGATCCTGAGCTGAATGAGACCTGAGTTCTAGAACCACCCAGCCGTGAGAGGAGCCAGGGAATGACGCCACAGGCAGAGGGACACGGGAGGGGAAAATCCTCACAACAGAAGAGAGCTGGGTGTGAGAGCGGTGAACGACAGGTCACCTGGTCCTCAGGGAGTCCTCCAGGGCCATCTGGAAGGAGCTCAAAGTGGCTACAGAGAGGCTCACAGTTGGATGTGACAGCGAGCGCTCACTGGGTGTCGTGGCTCATTGGATGTTCAGTCAGCCGCGCTCAGCAAGCAAGGATCTCACTGCTTCAGCTCAGAAGGAAATGCTGCAACCCCCTGCTTAGCCAAGCCACACAGACACCAACCGGTGTTTCATCCAAAGGTCTGAGTGGCCTGGCTGCGTCCACGTGGACAATGTGAGAAGGTGTCGGCAGAGGCAGACGGACTCAAGGGGAGGCGATCTGGGACACCATTGCCAAGCACCTCGGAGAAGAGCCGAGCACAGGGTGCTATCCATGAGAACAGATGGGGAGAAGGATTTCTCTTCTCCAGTCACCAGAAGTCTGATATAGTCCTTTAGCAGCTTCAGAAAGGGGACAAGGGGGCCTTGTATTAAGAGGGGTGGTGGTAAGAAGAGCTGTAAGCTGGACAGGAGCCTCTCTATGGGGGGGCTACCTTGGGGTCCATTCTCTAGTATCAAGGAATTAAATGAGATAAAATTTGTAAAGCCCTTGGAACAATGCCTAATGTCTGATAAAGGAACAATAATTGTTAGCAATTATTACAATTAAATAAACAGGTAGAAAAGGTAGGAGCCCAGAGTCAGACTGGGAACTCAGATAGGAACTCTTAAGAGTTAGCCTGGTATAATGGATAAGTGTGTGAGCCCTTTGCCCCAAACTGGATTCAAATCCGGGCTTTATTGTCCACCAGCTCTGTGGCTATAAGCAAGTTGCATAAGCTCTCTGAACCTCAGTTTCCTCATCTGTAAAACAGGGGTCAATAACAGTACTTATGAAAAAAAATAATGGTACTTAAGCCATTTGGTTGATGGGAGGACTCAAATCTACTCTTCAAAGTGTAGTGAGTGGCACAGAGAACGTGTTCTGCACACGTTAGCTATTTCTGTAATAAACACTATGAATTTATAGATGCTTTTAATGTAAACGATCTACAAATGAGAGAAGAGGAAAAATGGGTTGTTGGGTGTTTTTCCTTGCTCCTTTGGCTGATACCTTCCCTGGTTGGTTTTTCACTAGTTAGAACCCTTGCCACAAGGGTCGCAAATGTCCATCAAGAATTCAAGAGAACTGGGGCGCCTGGGTGGCTCAGTGGGTTAAAGCCTCTGCCTTCGGCTCAGGTCATGATCTCAGGGTCCTGGGATCGAGTTCCACATTGGGCTCTCTGCTCGGCAGGGAGCCTGCTTCCCCCCTCTCTCTGCCTGATGCTCTGCCTACTTGTGATGCTGCTCTGTCTCTCTCTGTCAAATAAAAAAATAAAATCTTTAAAAAAAAAAAAAAGAATTCAAGAGAACTAGGGACTTGTCGTATAATTTGAAGCAGGAAATACCATGATCACAGGCAGCCTTCTAAGGCTGCTGCGGGGGAGGAAGGGTTTGCCCCGGATTTTTAGCCACACAGATTCTGGTTCTACTTGGCCACAAAACAGCCGTGTGATCCCGGCCCTCCGATTCTTCCAGTCCAGTTTCCTTATCCATCAAATGACAACAAGGCCCACCTCACAGGCCTGAGGAAACGTATCATGAAAAGATACTGCAGACTCTGCTGGGCTAAATAAATAGAACCAGCTCCACCCTAACCTGCCTGACCCCAACTGTGGGGGCTTTGTTCAAATCAGTGATTTTTAGCTCCCCTCAGACCCTCCAACTCGCTCTTCAATACCACGCACTAGGACCAACTTCCACTTGTATCCCCTCAGCAGGGGAGCATGTTAGAGGTAGAGAAGCAACGGATCTCAACGAGAGCCATTCCAGCCTCCCCAGGGACGTGAGATACGGGAGTCCACCCAGTCCACCCAGCCTCCATTTCCTTCCCAATGCGCACAGGAGCTTCTAGAAGCCACGGTGTGGTACATGTGAGCCAGTGGTTCTCAATCTTGGCCAGCCATTAAAGTAGCTTTGTAAAAAAACTGCTGCCTACGCCCAAATCCTAGTGATTCGAAATCAACTGGCCTGGGGTGGGGCAGGTATGGACGTTTTTGAAAGCTCCCCATGTGGTTCTGAGGTGGAAGCAGGGATGAGAATCTGTGAGGGCAAAGGAAGTTTGTCCTCCCCAGTGCCCGGGGCCCTCTGGTCTCTGCCCTATCTCCCCCTCACTTTTCATGTCCCTTCCTGTGACCTGGCACAATGATGGGACCTCTGGGCTCTCAGAAAAATAGTCTGACCCTGAGAGGCCACACTACAAAGTGAAGTCAAATGCGACGGTGCCAAACATCTTTATTATGCAACTTTGAAGTACCCGACACTGCATTCTTGGAATGCTTCAATAATAAGGGATCAGCACACACACCTTCAACCTCAGCTGACCTTGCTCCTCAAATGTACTTTCCTCAAGGAGGTGAATGAGCTCAACAACTCCTGAAGAAGCCCATTTTTCAAGAAAATGCCATGCACACATCTTTCTACTTTGATACACCCACTAACCTGTGAACGAATACTGCCCTTATTTGGAATGAAATGCAAAAGTCAGATGCTGGAAAATACAGGTTTACATATTCAGTGCTAAAATCCCAAGAGTTAGTTTTACCACAGAACATAGACTTCTGTCATATGATATGACATCCTGTTGTCATACATAAAATAATAATTACATCAGTAGTAATGGCATAAAGTTATTATGCGCTAATTCACAGGGTGATCTCTTTAGCTCTCAATTGTGAGAATGCAGCCCTCTCTCACTCTCCACCCCCAAGTTAGGAAAGAATAGAAGTAAATGAAGACATCCTGAACAAAACCACATTGCAAAACTTCAGCTCAAATGAAGTAAGAAACAATTGCTCTAATTCATTTACAGATTTACAAAGGCCAGGGCTTTCGAAGTATTTATTATTTTGAAGCTATAATGCAAGAGTGTATGGAACAAGAGAAAAAGGGCATTTATTTTTGCCAAAAGTTTTAGAAATTTTCCTTAAAACTTGTCATGTTATTAAAAAAAAAAACGCTTATTCTTAACTAACAGTTTTTTTTTTAAGATTTTATTTATTTATTTGACAGAGATCACAAGTAGGCAGAGAGGCAGGCAGAGAGACAGAGGGAAGCAGACTCCCCGCTGAGCAGAGAGCCCCATGTGGGGCTCGATCCCAGGACCCCAGGATCATGACCTGAGCTGAAGGCAGAGGCTCAACCCACTGAGCCACCCAGGTGCCCCATTAACTAATAGTTTTTTAAAGGAGGTATTAAAAAAATCCCCATTACTCCACTGATCATGGTCCCTAGAAATGATCATGGAGAGGCTTAATCTTCCAGATTTTTCTCTAACAATCCCCCAACACATACATATATAAATATTTTGTAGATGTCATATATGCCGTGTGTGTAAATACCTTTTTTTTCCCCTCAAAATAGGAACAGGCCATATGTAATATCCTACACTTGCTAGAGTCACTTGGCTTGTTATGAAAATCTTTTCATAACAGTACATATGATCATTTTATAAAAGAGTGTGGCATTCTGAATTTACCACAACCTATTAACACATACAACCTACAACACTGAAAGGCACTGTTCTGAGGCTGGGGATGCCGACCAGCTCCCACTCATAGACAGGTAGGATACTCAATGGTGAAGAGCATGGATTCGGGCACCAGACCGCCAAGGTTTGAATT